TCAGCCTGGCTTGTGGCTGAGCAGAGCTCCTTCCCATGTGAGAGCGACCTGACCACCAGAGGGCAGCTCCTGCATTGAGAGTCTGCCCCCTGGTGGTCAGTGTGTGTCATAGTGACCCAGTCATTCCCCAGTCTTTCTGCTGTTAGGGTCAGTTTTCATATTACCCTTTTACTATATAGGACAGAGGCCTGGTGCATGGGTGGGGGCCACCTGGTTTTGCCCTGAAGGGTGTCCCGGATCAGGGTGGGGGTCCTGCTTGGGTGCCTGGCCAGCCTGGGTGAGGGGCTGATGGCTGTTTGCAGCTGGTCACACCCCCTTCAGGGTGGGGGTCCCGCTTGGGTGCCTGGCCAGCCTGAATGAGGGGATGATGGCTGTTTGCAGCTGGTCACACCCCTTTCAGGGTGGGGGTCCCGCTTGGTTGCCTGGCCAGCCTGGATGAGGGGATGATGGCTGTTTGCAGCTGGTCACACCCCGTTCAGGGTGGGCGTCCCCACTGGGGTGCCTGGCCAGCCTGGATGAGGGGATGATGGCTGTTTGCAGCTGGTCACACCCCCTTCAGGGTGGGGGTCCCCACTGGGGTGCCTGGGCAGTCTGGGTGAGGGGCTGAGGGCCGTTTTCAGGCTGGCGGGTGACTGAAGCTCCCAACCTCTCCTTTTTTTCTTTTCTTTTTTATTCTGGGATTTATTTACCTTCTATGGCTGTCACTGGAGCTTAGAGCCGGCTTTAGCTCTGAGGCTCGGCTCCAGCTCTGAGACCTCAGCTGCTGAAAGCAGGTATCTGGGTTTGTTTGGGTTCTATAATTGTAACATTGTTGTAGTCCTGTTCGCTCCAGCTCTGAGGGCTGAAAGCAGGTTTCTGGGGTTTATTTACCTTCTGTAATTGCAACATTGTTTCTTAGACTGCAGCTCAGAGGCCAGCAGCGGCAGGAGGGGAACCTTGGCTTCCTCCATCACCAGAGCAAGCAAGCCTCCTGTTCGCTTCAGCTGGCTGGCTGCCGGCCGCCATCTTGGTTGGCAGTTAATTTGCATATCTCGCTGATTAGCCAATGGTAGCGAAGTTACGGTTAATTACTATGTTTCTCTATTATTAGATAGTATATATATATATATAAAGAATGAAGGAACTAAAAGCTATGGACATACAAAGAAAGGCTTAAGCTACTAATATACTTATCCAGGGAGCAAAAGTAGTTAACATCTGAAGAGTTGTTTGGTGAAAGAGAGATGAGAATTTTTCTGTATGGTACCAATGTAAGAGATACAAGGCAAATGGGTAGAACTTATTATGACAAAGGTTTGTCTGACCTAGGAAAGGACCTCAAATGTTTTTTATTTATTTTAATATATTTTTTATTGATTTTTTACAGAGAGGAAGGGAGAGGGATAGAGAGTTAGAAACATTGATGAGAGCGAAACATCGATCAGCTGCCTCCTGCACACTCCCCACCAGGGATGTGCCTGCAACCAAGGTACATGCCCTTGACTGGGATCGAACCTGGGACCCTTGAGTCCAAAGGCCGATGCTCTATCCACTGAGCCAAACTGGTTAGGGCAAGGACCTCAAATTGAATGAGAGCTGGCAGCAAATTGAACGGATTGCCTTAGGTTCCTTAATCCAGAGTTATATTCATGTAGAAGATAAATGATCACTTAATGTACCTATTGTACCTTAGTAACATACAGAAGGCTGAACTAGAAAACATACAAAGTCACTTTCAAAAATGAGATCTTAATGAGTTTCTTAAACTAATGCTTCCAAATACCTGTATACATTTTCAAGAAAGAAAAACCAGACAGCTTAAAAGTACTAAGACCCTGGACTACTCATTGATTATTCATTGAGAAAAATCACCAAATGTTTTTCCTTGGAATTAGGATATTAGAATTTTGAGTTAAATATAATACAGTGTTTATTTTAAGACACCTTATAACTGTTTCTCTCAACTTATAAAATGTGTTTAACAAACATTTCAAAGACATTTTTTATGAGTAGGGGTAACAACAACATAATAAAAATTCATTTTATCATATTTATATTATAAAAAAATTCACAAACATTTATACACAAGTTACCTGCTCTGGTTTCATTAGCTGCTTTTTGGATTCCTCTTCTTTGGCTGCATGCACACTTATAGATGCAAATATCAGCCCTGCAGGCATGATTGTCAGCTTTCGCATCTGAGAAAGATACACACAATAAATAAACATTTATTTTTATTGTTGAGAGTATTACAGATGTCCCCCATTTTCCACCCTTTGCCCCTCTCCACTGGGGTCCAGGCATTCACTGCACTATTGTCTGTGCCCATGGGTTATGCATATAAGTTCTTTGATTAAATTTCTTCCCACACTCCCTCTCCCCTTCCCTCTAAGATTCGTCAGTCTGTTGCATGCTTCCATGTCTCTGGACCTATTTTGTTTATTAGATTCCACATATAAGTGAGATCATGTGATACTTGTCTTTTTCTGACTGGCTTATTTCACTTAGCATAATAACCTCTAGATCCATCCATGCTGTCACAATGGGTAACATCCTTTTTTATAGCTGCATAGTACTTTATTGTGTAAATACGCTATAATTTTTTGTCCACTCATCTACTGATGGGCACTTAGGCTGTTTCCAGAGCTTAGCTATTGTACATAATGCTGCTATGAACATAGGGGTGCTTGAAAAGTTTCCCATCCTCAATTTCCTAATAAATTTTGTGGGCATCTGTAGAACACTATGGGTTTCATTAAAACTTATTGAAAACCGAAACATTACAAATTACTTCTCCAAACATTTTAGAATATAATTCCTAAAATTCTCTTCTCATACTAGATGGTAGAGTATTATTTTTACCAATAACTTAACTACCTACTTCATATGGAATATAGCAACATACAAAAATTACCAGGAAGAAATGAATATAAAATTTAAGGGATGAAGTGGAATAGATCATGGTATTCATTCAGTCCACAAATATTAACTGAGTAACTACTGTATGCTAGACCCTGGTCTTAGTGCTTAGGATACATCAGTGAACAAAACAAAGATCCTTGCTCTCATGCAGCTGACATTCTAGTAGAACAGAGACAGATAATAAACACAATAACTATATTATGTGGAATATAACAAATTGTTATAAATATTATGAAAAAATAAAGGAAAGGGTGATTTGAAGTACTGAGGGAATCAGGTTACATCTGGAAATACAAATTTACACTATTAATTTAAAAAGTTTCCTTCCATTACAAATACCTTTCCCCTAAATTCCCAATGCATTCTCCCCCCCCACACCCCGCCCCTGGTTTCACAGAGTGTAAAGCCAACATGACCTGTGTTTTTTATATAATTTGATTTGAATTTAAAATGCAGGAAAATTACAGGATCTAAGAACGAAGTATTCCAGTGTTTATTCAAGTACCAAAGTAATTCCCCAAAACTACATATTCAACAGGCCAAATGAAAAGCTTTCCAGGGAACAAATATTTTAAGATCTTGATTCTTTAGAAGGGAAAGGAGACTTGCTGAAATCAATAAAGAACATCCAGAGAGAAGAGGTCTCTTTGGCTTACATGCAAGTGTAATTGTGCATAACTGGAAGAAATCCTGGCCCAAAATTTCTAAACGTTCTCTAATAGTGCCTATATTTCATTTCTGAAACATTTTTGAATATTTTCTGAGTGGAGTAAAGAAAGCTACAGGAACTAATTAAATAATTTCTTGTTTAAACTAGGCATGACTCTGATTTAGACTGAGATTCCAGAAATACAGGGTAAAATGAAGACTCAATACTAATCAGAGAAAATTTGTCCACTTTTTCCCTCTTCAAGCCTCCCACTAGCACATATAGTATCACATAATGATTTATCTAGGCGTGCCTTCCTAAGACATCATTTTTTATTTCTTATATCCAGTAGGTATTTACTAATCAAATAACAAGATTTCCACTCCATACCTATGTCAGGTGTCAATAAATAGCATATTAAAACTGATGCCAGCAATAATGTTCTACCCGGTACTTGGGAAATTTAGGTAATAAAGCCCTGAAATGATTATCTGAACAATGTCAATTCTTATAACATTTATAAACTATTTCTAAAACACCTGATTAGACCTTACTCCCTAGATACAATAAAACACTTTTGCCCTAACTGGTTTGGCTCAGTGGATAGAGCGTCAGCCTGCGGACTCAAGGGTCCCAGGTTCGATTCCGGTCAAGGGCATGTACCTTGGTTGCAGGCACATCCCCAGTAGGGAGTGTGCAGGAGGCAGCTGATCGATGTTTCTCTCTCATCGATGTTTCTAACTCTCTATCCCTCTCCCTCTCTGTAAAAAATCAATAAAATATATTTTAAAAAAAACACTTTTGACATATACTAATACCTGAAAATTTTTCAACACGCTAATGTTCTCAGAGTATAATCATCTTACTTTGCATAATGTAATAATAATAAATGTAGACTATAAAAAACTCATAGGTCCTACTTGGTAATTATGATCTAGTGGTCCAGAGTCTGGATTGATTAACTAAACTGTAGGCTAAAAAGATAATATAGCTTAAAAATGCCTAAGTATCTTAGCTACATTTTCTACTCATGTGGACAGGGTTCATTCACCTTGACTGTTTTTTTTTCATATACATTTTTTATTATTTTTTAAAATAAAAATTACTGGGGTGACATTGGTTCCAAAAATTATATAGGTTTCAAATGTACAACTCCATGATACATCATCTGTATATTGTATTGTGTGCTCTACTTCCAAAGTCAAATCTTCAGTGACTTTGGGTTTGAACTCTTTTACCCTTTATTATCCCTCAAAACCACTTCCCACTGGTAACAGCATACTGTTATCTGTGTCTATATGAGTTTTTGTTTGTTTGTTTATTTGTTGCTTTCAATTATCCCATATGAGTAAAATAATGTCATTCTTGACTTTTTCTGTCTGACTTATTTCACTAAAAGCATGATATTCTTAAGATCCATCCTTGTTGTTGCAAATGGTAGTATTTCATCTTTTCTTATGACTGAGTAGTATTCCATTGTATATATGTTCCACTTCTTTATCCAATCATCTATGGAAGGAAACAGTGGTTATTTACATAACATTCCTATCCTGAAACAGGAAAATCTAAATAGAAAGATCAACGGTGAGGAAATTGAAAGAACCATCAAAAACTTCCCCAAAAGTAAAAGTCCACAACCATATGACTTCACTAGTGAAATCTACCAACCATTCAAAGAAGATTTTTACCTTTCTCAAACTGTTTCAAAAATTAAAGAAGCAATATTTCCTAACACATTTTATGAGGCCAACATATCCCCAATACCAAAACCTGGCAAGGATAACACACTAAAAAAAACCAACCAAACAAAAAACCACTAGAGTCATATCTCTGATAAATACAAATGCAAAAATCCTATACAACATACTAGCAAATTGAATACAATTAAAATTGAATAAAATTTTAAAAAAATAATACATCACTATCAAGTGGGGTTCATTCCAAGGGCACAAGGATGGTTCAACATATGCAAATCTATCAATGGATTTCACCACATGAACAAAACAAAAGATAAAAATCATATGATGTTATCAACAGATGCAGAAAAAGCATGTGATAAGATACACCATCCATTTATGATTAAAACACCCAACCAAAAGTGTACAGAAGAAAAGTATCTCAACATAATAAAGGACATCTGTGACAAACCCTCAGCTAACATCATACTCAATGGTGAAAACTAAAAGCTTTTAGTCTAAGATCAGGAACAAGAAAAGGATGCCCATTCCTACCACTCTTATTCAACATAGTGTTAGAAATCCTAGCAAGAGCAATCAAGCAAGAGAAAGAAATAACAGGTATCCAAATAGGGAATGAAGAAGTAAAATTGTCACTCTTTGCAGATGACATAAATCTTTATATAGAAAACCCTAAACACTCCACTAAAAATATTAGAACCAATAAACAAATACAGTAAAGTAGCAGTACAGAAAACCAATGTACAAAGATCCACTACATTCCTATATACTAAAAATAAAATATCATAAAAAGAAATGAAAAAAAATTCCTTTTGCAATTGCAACAAAAAGAATAAAATACCTAGGAATAAACTTAGCAAAGGATGTAAAGTACCTACATACTGAAAACTAAAAGGCATTATTAAAAGAGATTGAAAAAGACACAATAAAATGGAAAGATATTCCGTGTTCATGGACTAGAAGAATCAACATAATTAAAATGGCCAAATTAACATTTAAACCAATCTTCATTAAAATCCCAATGATATTTTTTTTCAATAAATAGAACAAAACAAAAATACATCAGATTTGTGTGGAACCACAAAAGACCCCGAGTGGCCAAAACAATGCTGAGTAAAAAGAAATAAGCTGGAGGAATCATACTACCTGACTTCAAAATATACTACAGAGCAACAGTAATCAAAACAGCATGGTATAATTACACAATGGAATACTATGCAACTATAAAAAATAAGGATCCCTTATCCATTGAGACAGCATGGAGGGACCTGAAGATTATTATTATTTTTTTTTTTTTAATATTTTTTTATTTTTCGCTTAAAGTATTACAAAGGGTATTACATAAGTGTCCTTTTTTTCCCCCCCGCCCTTGACACACCCCTACCCTCCCTTACCCCCCAGTGTCTTATGTCCATTAGTTATGCTTATATGCATGCATACAAGTCCTTCGGTTGATCTCTTACTCCCCTCCCTCCTGCTCCCCAACTCTCTCTGGCCTTCCCACTGCAGTTTGGCAATCAGTTTGAGGCAGCTCTGCCTCTGTATCTATTATTGTTCAAAAGTTTGTAATGGTCTTTATTATCCATGAATGAGTGAGATCATGTGGTATTTTTCCTTCACTGACTGGCTTGTTTCACTTAGCATAATGCTCTCCAGTTCCATCCATGATGTTGCAAATGGTAGGAGTTCCTTCTTTTTAACAGCAGCATAGTATTCCATCGTGTGCAACTATAAAAAATAAGGATCCCTTATCCATTGAGACAGCATGGAGGGACCTGAAGATTATTATGCTAAAAGAAATAAGCCAATCAGAGAAAGATAAGTATCACATGATCTCACTTATATGTAGAATCTAATGAACAAAATAAACTGATGAACAAAATAGATCCAGAGACATGGAAGCATGAAACTGAGTGATGAATCTCAGAGG